GACAGACAGAGACAGAGACAGAGACAGAGACAGAGACAGAGACAGAGACAGAGAGCCAAAACAAGAGCGAGAGGGAGAATGTGAGCGGTAAAGGGAGAGGGAGAGAGGAGGAGAGGGGAAGGGGATGAGGGGGGAAGGAGGAATGGTGAGATGGCAGCCTGGCTGCAACTAGGCTCCTGAAGAGAAGAGCAGGGCTGGATGCACCGCGCTTCAAGGACGCTGAAAAGAGAGGACGAACGCGGAGGGATTAGGGGACTTGGGCAGTTCTAGAGAGGCTGGGACGGCAAGCCAGGCGCAAGGGCGCGCAGCAATTGAACGGCGAGCTGGCGTCCGCCAAAAGGACGAAACACGGGCACCGCCGCTATCGCGCCAGCGGAAGTGGGAGTCGATGTGCTGGTGCGGCGGCGCGCAACGAGGGCGTGGTCATGGGGCGGACGTCGAAGAAGGCCCCTGGCCCCTTGCCTCGGGTGCGGGGCACTGCTCTCGATCGGGGACCCGATCCCTCCTAAGAGGCCGTCAGCCTTCTTCGAAAGCCGCCCCGCCCCACCCCCCCGCCATCAAAGCCCCCGTTGTGCGCCGCCGACCTAACGCCGGCATGCGCAGGCGGGAGACATGTCCACATCCGCGGCCTGGCGGCGCCGACTCCTCGGCCGCGGCCCCTCGGATGCAGGGCGGCGCTACGCGGATGCCCCGCGCGGAGCGTACCAATGGGATCGCGCATCCATGGGATGGAAGCTCGGCGTCACGGCCACGAGGGCATTGGGCATGAGGGACATGGGTCCTGGGGGGCACCCCTAATGGACCTGGGGAGCCTTCCCCCAGGACCAAGTCTTCTTGACACTCCCGGGGCTCAGGGAGGGCCCCCAGAAGCCCGAACACGACAAAAAAACCTCAAGGCCCGCTTCCCTCAGGACACGCTTCCTTCACTGCGAGGGCACGGACATGGCTATGCTCGCCGCTCGTGGGGCATGCCTGTGCCAGCGCCCCACTGAGCATCGTTTAACTGATCCCTTTCCCCACTGGCGTGGCCTGGGTCCTAACGGTCGATTTAACCTCCCTTGATGAGGATACAGGCTCCTCCCTGCCTGTTTCGAGGGGCCTATCCCCAACTGGGGTGGTGGGATGGTGGGGCTGTGATACCATGACCCGGTGGGGATGGGGACAGGTTAACCGATACTGCTCCTCGCCTCGCGACGGCCCTGCCGAACCTCAGGCGCCAGAGAAGCGGCCAGCACTCGGGCGCGCGGCGGCGGTGATGCTCTGAGGCGGCTTCGTGGAGGGCCGGTGCAGGGGGAGGTCCTTCGGCAGTTCCACCGGCGCAGGCGCCGACCCGGCGTGCGGCGAGGGCGCGAGCACCTGCAGGGGGGGAAGGCTGCTCCATCCCGAGTCCACTCGGCATCTCGGCTCCTCTGCAAGAGCGTTCGGTGGCAACTCATTGGAGCCTCTCATACCATATTGCTGGCTCTTACGAATCGAGGCTAACAGACGCTAATCGATGCTAGTCAACACTAAATCGACGCTCATCGACGCTAAATCGGCGTTTCTCGTCGAATACCAGACGCTAGCGCACGCTAGCGCACCCGAACGACTGAATTTCAAGGACATACTATGCTCCCATGATTTGCTACCGAAAGAACGCACTCGCCCGCCAGCGCGCGCGCGCGGGGGGCCGCGGAAGGGCCGCGTCGGCCCAGGGCGCGGCCGGGCACCAACGCCTGAGCGCGCCCCAGAAGGGCGCCAGCAGCCGCCAACCCCATCCCGCATCCACTTCCAAATCCCCCACCCACCCTTCCGCCCGCTCCCCGCCTCCCCCACCAGGGAGGAAGGGAGGGAGGGAGAGAGGGAGACAGGGCAGGGAGGGAGGGAGGGAGGGAGGGAGGGAGGAGGACGAGGAGGAAGAGGAGGAGGAGGAGGAGGAGGCTCCCCTCCCCACCCCTCCTCTGCCTCATCCACCTCCCGGCCGCCCAACCGCTGGCCTGGAGAGGACCACGGGCGATGGGCGCACGCGGCGGTATGTCTCCGCGGCCCGAGTGCTGGGCCCCGGCAGCAGAGCCCAGCGGGTCAGGCGGAGGCGTCCGGCGCGGCAGTCCGAACCAGCTTTTCGAAGCTGGGCGGTCCAGGTCCACGGCTCCTGCCATGTGGTCACGTGCATTGGCAGTCCCAGGTGCGTCCGCCCGACAGCCAGCTCCCCCCACCCCCCCTCTCCCGAGCCGTCCCCTCCCCTCGCCACCCCGCCCCACCTCCTGATACTCGCCGCTCCTCCTCCTGCCCTTCATGTTGCCCCAGTGCCCTCCGCCCCTGCCCATGCCCTCCACGACCCTTCCCCTCCCCTCCCCTTGTCTCCACCCGCTTCCCCTCCCCTCAGCCGTTCTGATCTGGGCATCTCCCCTCTCCTTCAAACAAAATCGTCCTTCCCCTCCCTTTTTTCTCCCTTCACCTCCTACAATCAAAACCCTCCCGTAAGGGACCTTTGATCAGGAATGAAGCCCCCTTGCCCCAATGTCCAGATATCCTACGTCGTGCCTTTGTTCCATGCGGGGCCCCAGGATCTGTAGACCCCTTCCCCAAGGCCAGTTTCCACCCTGGGCAAGTCTTATCATGGCCCCAGGGCGCGGGAAGCAGCCCCCAAGACGGCCGAAGACCGCGGGAAACTGGCCGTCCCGATCATTTCGTGACGCCGAAGATGGGGCTTCCCATGTTTCGGCGGCGCGCCGAGGGAGGGAGTGAGAAGAGGCAAGCCGTCTCACAGCACTGCGGGGTTTCTCGGACGCCCTCCCACCCTCCTGGGAATGCCTATGGCCGCGGGACGCCCATCGATAACGGCACGACGATGACGGCTAAGCCTTCTGAGGAAGCTGAGGCCGCAGGAAGCCAGCGAGCGAGCGCGCGAGCGCGCGCATCGGGCGAAGGATCCTGGGCACCCTGAGGCCCGACACTCTGGCGGGCTACAGCCCCCTCAGGGCGCGGTGCCGCTACACGCGCCTGCCTCGGCGCTCGCTAGCTCGCGAGGCCGTGCCGCTGAGCCCCGCTAGAGCGGTACAGCGCTGCGGAACCGCCGCGAGGATCCAGGATCGAGGACTTGGGACGCCGCCCTAAGACAACGGCACGACGATGACGGCAACGGCAGCAGAGACAGTGCCGCTGCCCACGCCGCTTCGGCTGAGCCCCGAATGGGGAATCCAGCCCTGCTGCCTCGCCGCGAGGATCGAGGACCCCAAACCCCCATCGCATGTTGAAAGAATCACGACGGACGGCTGTTGGCCGTTTTCGGTCTCTGGGGGACCTCGCCGGGCCCCGAGACAGTCCAAAACCCACTCGGGATGAAAAGAGGGCCCTGGGGAAATGGTCGAGATCGCGAGGGATCGACGCTGTGGAAAAATTGGCGTCGAGTCTGGGATCGTAGAGGAGCAAACAATGCCACCCAGCACAGACTTCCTCAGGTCTTCGCAAATTTCTTGCATTGGCGCTCGCCCCCCCCTGGCGGTGCCTCCGCGCGCCAGGAAGGGGGGCTCAGCGCCCATCCGAGAAACCCGTGCAGATCTCTGAAAGCTTACGGATATGCCGCCTGTCTCCTGCAAGGGCGAGCGACTCGGGACGCCCTTCGGCAACGGCTCGACGACGACCACGACGGCAACGGCGGCGACGGTAGCGGCCACAGAGGACGGCGATGGCGACGGCCGCGGCGCGGCCTCGTCCCCGTCGGGCCCTCCAGCAAGCACGGGCACCGGCGCGTGGATGCCGTGCACCTGGAGGTCCAGCGGGATGCCCAGCCGGCGTGCGTTGCGACGAATCGCCGCGCCAGGGGACATCGCCGGCGACACGTCGGGGGACACCGCTGGCGACGGCGGCGCCACCTCAGTCGGTGGAGGGGAGGGATATCATGCACGTGCCTGGGGGGGTGATATGCCCGCGAGGCAGGACGATGAGAATGATGAGGGTAGTGATGGGGATATGATGATGATGGTGATGGTGATGGTGATGGTGATGGTGGTGGTGATGGTGATGGTGATGGTGGTGATGGTGATGATGATGATGATGATGATGATGATGATGCTGATGATGATGATGATGATGGTGATGGTGATGATGGTGATGATGATGATGATGGTGATGATGGTGATGATGATGGTGATGATGGTGATGGTGATGATGATGGTGATGGTGATGGTAATGATCATCATCATCCTCATATTCTTCCTCATCATCATCATCATCAGCATCATCATCATGGTGGTGAGGATGGTGATGGTGATGGTGATAGTGATGGTGATGGTGATGATGGTGATGGTGATGGTGATGGTGATGGTGATGGTGATGGTTGATGGTGATGGTGATGGTGATGGTGATGGTGATGGTGATGGTGATGGTGATGGTGATGGTGATGGTGATGGTGATGGTGTGATGGTGAATGGTAATGGTGATGGTGATGGTGATGGTGATGGTGAAGGTGATGATGCTGATGATGATGCTGATGGTGATGATTATGATATTGAGTATGATGACGACGACGACGATGATGATGATGACGATGATGATGCGCATGCTGATGCTGATGCTGACACTGATGCTGATGCTGATGCTGAGGCTGATGCTGATCACGCTGATAAAAATGAGAATAATGATGATGATAACGATGATGATGGTAGGGCGCTCTCCTTGCAACAGCATTCCTGTCTCAGTCAGCGAAGTGAAGAGAAGGGAAGGCCGTTCAGAGCTCAGCCAAGTGATGATGATGATGATGGTGGCGCTGATGGTGGTGATGGTGATGGTGATGGTCATGGCCATGGTCATGGTCATGATCATTGTCATGGTCTTGGTAATGCTGATGGCAATGATAATGCTGTTGTTGCATATGCTGATGCTGGTGAGGACGATGCTGGCGATGGCGATGATGATGATGGTGATGATGATGATGGTGGTGGTAAACATGATGACAGTGATGGTGACGGTGGTGATGATGATGGTGATGGTGATGATGATGATGATGTTGGTGGTGGTGCTGATGTCGTTGTTGATCATGGTGGTGATCTGACAGTGGCTGATGCGCGGCACCATAATACTAGGACCAATGTTGCGACGACTTCTCGAACGATGGGGCAAACTGATCGGGGCGGTCCGACCTCTCGGAAGAAGGCAGAGCTGCTCGGGCCGCTTCGCCCGCACACTGATCCCACCAGCCCTTGAGGGCGTGAGTGGTTTAGAACGTTTCTTCTTCCACACTTCCCCCTTCTTTCTCTTCGGGGAGGGGTGTACGGGTGTACCCCTCCCCATGTACCCCCTTTCCTGGATCTGGACGGGGCGCCCCGCGACGCGTTGGAGCCTCCAAAACGGCCTCGGCGAAAAGGCCAAAATCCTTGATTTGTTTCTCGGGTTTGTTGGAAAGGGGCAATTTGGGTCTCCTGGGGGGAAACTGTTTGGTCGAACTCCTCCAAAGTGGCCCCAAGATAACCCCCGAGGCTCCCAAGAGCGCCCCAATATGCACCCAGGAGGCCCCAAGAGGCCCCCCAATATTCCCCCAATATGCCCCCAAGAAGCCCCCAAGAGACCCTCGAGAAGCCCCAAGAGGCTCCCCCGAGGCATCCTTCAAGAGGCCCCCAGGAAGCCTCGTCAGGCCGACAAGAACCTCTCAAGAAACATCCGAAGAGACTGCGAAAAGCATTCAAGGAGACGCTGGCCTTTTCTGTTCGCCCTCCTCCTACTCTTCCTCTTCGTTTTCCTCGTCCACCTAATACTCGTCTTTCCTCGTCCCAATCCTCCCCCCCTCCACCTCCTCCTCCTCCTCCTCCTCCTCCTCCTCCTCCTCCTCCTCCTCCTCCTCCTCCTCCTCCTCCTCCTCCTCCTCCTCCGCTCCTCCGCCTCCTCCTCCGCCTCCCCCTCCCCCTGCCTCCTCCCCCCTCCGCCTCCTCCTCCTCCTCCTCCTCCTCCTCCTCCTCCTCCTCCTCCGCCTCCTCCTCCTCCTCCTCCTCCTCCTCCTCCCTCCTCCCTCCTCCTCCTCCTCCTCCTCCGCCTCCTCCTCCTCCTCCTCCTCCTCCTCCTCCAGCTTCACCGCGACCCCGGCACCCAGCCCTCTTTAGGATGGGTGGCCACCGGGGTCAGGCGTGTGAGGGCGCCGTCCAGTCCCAGCAGCACTATACACCCCCTCGGCCTGCGGGCAACGGCCCCTGACCCAGGCTGGGGGGGAAGTGGAACAAGCGAAATTAACACACCTGCGAGGGCGGCCCGGGAGGGGGAAGGAGGGGGCGGGGGGCGGGGGGCGGTCATCGTGTCGTGGCGTTGGAATGGCTGCCGTCTCCTCCTCTACCTGTACCTCCTCATCAGTCTCAACGTGGTTGTTGTTTCTGCCTCCGCCTCATCCTCCTCCTCCTCAGCCTCTACGTGCTCCTCCGTGCCACGGCCGCTTCTCCTCTTCTTCTTCTGGTTCCGCCGCCTCTACCCCCTCCTCCTGTCTCCGGGCGCCTCGGCGCCAACCGCTCATGCTGGCCTCAGGGCGTTCCGGGGCCCGCTTGTCGACCTCGTCCTCCGCCTCCGCCTCCTCCGCCCCCTGCCTCCTCCTCATCCTCCGGCAAGCCCCCGGGCGCGACGGCCCTCGTCCTCCGGGCGCCAAGCACCTCAGCAGCGCGCCCTCTGCCCGCAAGCTGGATGCGTCCGCGGCCTCCCCCTCCTCCTCCTCCTCCTCCTCCTCCTCCTCCTCCTCCTCCTCCTCCTCCTCCTCCTCCGCCGCCACCTCAACCTCCACCTCAAGCACCACCTCAACCACCACCGCCAACACCCAGGCCACGCCCAGCTCAGCGTCTTCCGGCTGGGGCCGGCGGCCTATGAGCGGCGAGGATCTGTTCGGCCACTGCAGTCTGCAGCGTGGCCGAGAGCTCCTGCCAAAAGGCAGTGGCGTCTGCGCTCGCCCCTGCCTCACCTTCAGCGTGGTCCAGCCGGTCGAGCACGAGCTGTCTGGCCGCCTGGCCGACCCGCCCGCCTGTCTCGACGGCGAAAGGCGTCAGGGCTGGCGTCGTTGGGCCAGGCGGGTAGCGTAGCTGCTTCCCCCGCGCGGCGTCCTCGGCAGCAAGGCCCGCGTGGGCCGCCCTGGCCCTCTCCTCGCGCTCGTCAGCGCTGTCTGGGCTAGTGACCACCACGTCCACCACGTGGCACACGCCCTTCTCGGACCATTTAACGTCCAGCACCGCCAGCTCCATCCGATCTTGGCCAGTCTCTGGATCCCGGCGCCGCCGCGTCCACTGCGGCACTGTCTGTTCGGTCTGCACCAGGCCCGGGACCCGCTTGGCAAGCCAACGCGCTAACAAATCGCGGACCCGGTTGTGCCGCGCAGTGCGCGTGGGCCCCCTCTCGCACGCGATTGCGTGATGCTGATCGGGTTCATGCAAAGCTCCGCAAACCACCCCGTCACGGGATGTGTGTTGACAGTGCGTCTGCAATGCATGACCCTTCAGCAGCCGCGGGCCCTCCATCTGGAGGCGCCTCCGCAACGCAAGTCGGTACAGGTCGGTTGCCATCCGGTGCTCTGGCGCCGTAGGCAACAGCGTGAAAGCCCCTGCCCCAGGGCCTCCGCAGGACAGAAGGCGGCCCAGCGCGCGGTCGTCCAGGCCGGCCCTAGCCCGCGCGCCAAGGACTTCCATGACGGGCAGCATCAAGTCCTTCTGTCTGCTCCGTTCGCCCTGCGCCAGCGAGACCTGGAGGTAGTAAGCCGCGTTGCCCACCCTGGTGTTGTAGGCAGCCACAGCGTCGGCGAAGCCCTGGGTGCCCGTGGCCTGCCTCGCAAGGAGCTCCTCTGCGCTGCCCATGCCCAAGGCGCGCGCGACAGCCGGAGCCGCGGCGCACCAGGCGGCCACGTGGGCGGCTTCCCGACGGGGTTCGGCGGCTCCTGCGGCGAGGCCGCCGTCTCCGAGCGGTAAGCAAGCCTGGGCCCACTCCCTGTCGGTCTGGGTCTCGTTAAGGAGGCGGTCCCATAGGCGCCGGAGGACGCAGTCGAAAGCTTGCACCGCTCGTTGGTCCACGAGCTGCGCGCGCAGGAGGTGGTTCGGCAGGCCCTGCGCAGTCCAGCGGAGCATAGCGCCGGCCTCTTGGACCCCGAGGCCGGCGGCCACGGCCTCGTCCAAGGTCTGGCCGAAAACCCCCAAGGCCTCCGTAACCTTGCCCATGGCTCGGGCGCCGCCCCCGGAGCCGGCGGCCAGCTCCGCCCAGTCGTCGTCCTGGCGGCGCGTCAGGCCACACCCGAGCACGCGGAGATCATCAACCACGTGGGGCCGCAGTGCCGGGGGGCACTGGGTGTGGCCAGGGGGGAGCCACACTTTGGTTTTGGTCGCGTTGAGAACGAGCCCCCAGGCGCTGAGTCTGCCGGAGAGGTCGTGGAGGAATTGCTCAGCCTCTGCGACCGGCACGACTGCAACGACGTCGTCGAGATACGCCGTGACCAGCCGCCCCGGGGAGTTGGCGAAGTGCTGCAACGTCGTTCGGTGGAGGGCCGCCGCGTACGCCGCCGGGCTGAGGGGGCAGCCTTGGGGCACGCCGGACCCAGTGCTAAACTCGTGCAGATCACCCTCCCCGTCGCGCCAGAGGCCCACCGCGGGCTTCGCGTAGAGCCGCGCCAGCAGGCTGCCGTACTCAGGCAGAACCGCGCTGAGGGAGTCAAGGACGGCCTGGCGGGAGACCGTGCCGAAGGCGTTGGCGACATCGACGGCGATCAAAAGACTCCCTGGCCGGTCGTGCACCGCGCTCTGCAGAGCCCGAAATTGGACGTCCACGCCCCCGGCCACTCCGAGTCCGTACTGGAGCGGGCCAGCGGCGCTTCGCGTGGCATCCGCGGTGTAAGCGACGAAGCCTGTGAGGACAGTGCGCCGGAAGGGGGCGAGGACCGTGAGGGGTCGAACCCCGCCGGCGGGCTTGCGGAGCGCCGTGATTGTCCCAGTGTTAAGCCAAACGTCCACGATCGGCGGGGAGGTGCCTTCAACCCACGCGAGGGCGGCGTCGGACAGGGCGGCGGCGGCGTCGGCGTCAGCGGCAACCACGCGCCAGTATTCGTTGCGACTGCCATCCGGCCCCGGCGCGCGGCCAGAGCGCGCCTTCCGAAAGGCCTTGACGATGGCATCGCTCAGGCCCTCGCGCGGGTCTTCTGGGAGGAGTGCTGCGGCGGCGTTTTGCTGCCCCGGGTTCCACGTGTTCTGCTCTGGGAAGAGAGCTCGGAGCTGGTCGCGTGTGCCAGGTCCTGTGGCCACCTGCCCAGTTTGGCGCAGGGTGGCGACCGCGCCCGCCACCTGTCCATCGTCCAACATGGCCCGAACACGGCGAACCTTGTTGATGATGTTCCCACCCTGGCCGCGCGCCGGCGCCACCCGGAGCTCTCGCCGATGCGCTGCGTCCCAAAGTTCCTGCCACTCCCCGCGCCAGAACGCCTGCAGGCGTGCGGCGAGGTCATGTTGGATGCGCGCCGCCCGTTTGCCGTTCGCTCCGCGGCCGCCGCGTGATCCTGTGGCAGCGAAAACAAGGCGCGGAGCGAACATCACCAACTTCCAAGCCCTCTCTCGTTCCTGCGGGTCGCTCCCGCGGACGCTCAGCCGGAGCGCCGCGCCCATGGCTTCGGCCCAGGCGGATTGGAGGCCAGGGGGCACGCGCCGCATGGTGGCAACCCGTTGGCCCAGGGCGTGCTGGACATCCACGTTGTCCCACCAGGTCATGCGGGCCAGGCGGGGGGGCTGGAGGCTTTCCTCGTCCCCTCCTCCTCCTTCCCCGTGAGGCGCAGCAGCCAGGGGATTGGGAACCCCCTCAGGCTGGAAGGCCGCGGGCTCATCTTCAGGCACCGCCGCTGCTTCGCCAAGGAGGGCCCGCACGCGTTCGACCTCATCCTCGGGCACCCCCCGGGCCCCGGTCAGCGTCGCCGAGCGTCGCCACCGCGTGCCCGCGCAGTGCCAGTGGCAGAAACGTTTCCCACCCTGTGTCTGGAGCCGCGCCTCGCCGATGGTGAACGCCGCCTTGCAAGCGCAGCAGTGGGCTCGCCGTCCGCGGCCCTGTTGGGAGAGAGTCCAGGCAACTCCGACCGCGGGGGGGCCGTCAGTGTCCATGGCGTTCTCTGCGGCAGCCACCGGCCCAGGGTACTCAGCTCCTGCTGCTGCTGCGGCCCCGCTGGCACCACCGGCGGCGCCAGGGCCCTCGCCGGGATACCCGAGAGTCGCGTCGAAGTCCAGGGCGCTCCAACCGCAAGCCAGAGCGGCTGGGGCAGCTGAAGGCGCAAGCGCAGCCGGGAAAGCCCAGGCGTGGAGCAGGCCTCCCGCGATAGCGCCCGCAAGAGCGGCAACGGCGAGGTGAAGTCCGAGGTAGGCTGCAGCTTGGCCATACATCCGAATCTGGCTCCAGCCCTGGGACACGTCGATCTTGGCTGCCACAGCCCAGCCCCTGGCGAGAAAGCCGCCTACGGCAGCCCGCGCCCGCATTGACACCTCCACGGCAGCGAGGACCATCAGGGCGAGCAGCCACAGGGCATCGCCCATGACGAGCAAGAGGCCCGGCAGCTGATTGGGTTGCTCATCATTTGGGCGCGCGTCGCGCCAGGCTTCCGGAAGGAAGGCAATAACGACCAGGAGGATGCTAGCCCCGCCTCGTCGTCGTGCGTGCCAAAACCATCGTCGAGCGTCGGGGGTGGAAGAAAAGGGCGAGGGAGAAGAAAAGGGAGAGGGGGGCGGACAAGAGGGGGCAGAGGACGAGGAGGACGAGGAGGAGCAGAGGAAGGAAGAAACCAGGAGGAAGGGTCCAGAGTCGAGGGAGGGGGAGAAGAAGTAGGCGTGGGAGTAGGAGGAGGCTCTGTAGCCATTTTGGCTTAAGAGCGCCTGATGAGATGAGGAGGGTGAGGACCGCGCCGCCTCTTCCTCGATCTGCCCCTCAGCCTCGTCCTCCTCGTCCTCCTCGCCCTTATCCTCAACGTGCTTCATGAACGTTGAGTCCAGCACGATGCCCGCCTGCAACTCGAAGGTGCTGGAGATGGGGCACGTCGCAGAGCCCAGGGTTCCCTTCATGTCGCCCTCGGAGCGCCGCTGGATCTCGGCGCGGATCTTTTCAGGGGGCCTCTCCTTCTGCAGCTTCGCGCCCGCCTTGAGGTGCGGCGGGGCCTCTTCGTTGGGGAGGAACACGCTGGTGGACTCGCAGGCGCAGTCCGCACCGTACCCCTTGAAGGGGATCTTGACTGGGTCGCGGGTGTGCGACAGCGCCACCTTCTTGCCATCGATCGACAGGGAGTCCACGTCGATCGCGACCGTGCCATCGTACCTGCTGTGGATCGAGCCGTACTTCATCTGTGGATCGCGCCGACGGGGTGAGAACAGGGAGGAAGAGGACCACGACGGCGACGACCAAAGGGTGGAAGGGAAGGAGAGGGAGGTGGAGGAAAACGAAGGCAGGAAGGAGGGGAGGATGGGCACGCCTGATAGGGGGGCCACAAAAAAAACCTCCACGTCCCCGTGAGGGGGGCACGGAGGGGGCGAGAGGGGCGAGACCTGGGACACCGCGAGGGCCGAAGGGGGCGGCAGGCGGGAACAGAACGGGGAAACAGGGGTCGAGGCAGGGGTGGGTGGATGGGGGGGGTCTATTCGTTGGGCTCCCCGAGTCCGCGAAGACGCCCCAGACGTGCCCGGGCGCCCCACCTCCTCCTCGACCTCCTCCACCTCCTCAGCCTCTACCCCTGCCACGCTGGTGGACTCGCAGGCGTAGCCCGCACCATGCTCCTGGGAGGGGATCTCGGCCGGGTCGGAGGTGTGCGACAGCGCCACCTTCTTGTCATTGATCGCCAAGGAGGCCCCGTCGACCTCATCGGCCTTATCCTCGACCTCCTCTGCCTCCTCCGCCGCCTCATCCTCCTCATCAGCCTCCTCCTCCTCCTCCTCCTCCTCCTCCTCCTCCTCTTCCTCCTCCTCCTCCTCAACCTCGTCCGCCACCTCCTCCTCCTTGACCTCCTCACTGACCTCCTCGACCTCCTCCACCTCCTCGGGCTCGGCCCCGGCCGCGCCGGTGGGCTCGCAGGCGTAACCCGCACCGTGCTCCGTGAAACGGATGTCGGCCGGGCCGCGGGTGTGCGACAACACCACTTCCTTACCATCGATCACCAAGGAGGCCCCGTCGACCTCGGCAGTGCCATCGCACTTGCTGTGGGGACTCACGATTACCAGCTTCAGGTCCATCTCCGGGTCCTTCATGGCGACGCGGGCCTCCTGGCGCTCCACCTCCTCGGCCTTCTCCGCCACCTCCCGGTCCTCAGCCTGTTCTTCGACCTCATCGACCTTATCCGCGACCTCCTCTGCCTCCTCCGCCGCCTCATCCTCCTCGTGATCCTCCTCCTCCTCCTCCTCCTCCTCCTCCTCCTCCTCCTCCTCGTCCGCAGTCTCCTCCGCCACCTCCGCCTGGACCTCCTCCGCCACCTCCGCCTGGACCTTTTCCGCCTCCTCCTCGACCTCGTCCGCGGACTCCTCCGCCACGTTCGTCTGGACCTCTGTCTTCTCGCCGTCGTGCTGCTGGTCTCGGTCGTGGTGGTGCTGGCGGCGGTGCTGCTGGTCGCTGTCGTGGTGGCGCTGCTGCTGATCGTGGGCGTGGTTTTGCTGCGCCGTCCTGCTCAGCGTTGCGACCGAAGGCGTCGTGCTGCTTAGCGTCGTGCCGCTGCTCCTCAGCGCGCTGCTCAAGTACGTCTCGTCGCGTCGTCGGGCGGGGGCGGGGGCGGGGGCAAGGAAAGGCAGAGGGTCGACGCGGGAGGGGGCAAGCGGGGAGGGAGGACGAGGGCGCCAAGCCGCAACGAATTCAAGGGAGCTGGGGATGACAAAAATGACATGTGCATCACTTCTGTCTCGGATGCATCATGAAAAAAGTTGCCTGGACAAATCTCCAGGCGTAAATGTAAAGCTGCACGGGTAAAACTCCGGACAGACTTGATTAGGCTTTAAGTCAAGCTTTATGTTGAAATAGCCGCCTCCTGGATAAATCTCCAAATGGCGAGAAAAGTTTGTAAACGGTACACACGCAGCGTCATGCCAGAGCCAGGGCGAGGGACGAGGGGGCGAGGAGGGAGGTCCGAGAATCAAGAAACAGCTGTGCACTGAAATTGAAAAAGCCGCCGTCTCATGCCTCAGGATGCCGGCCTGCACCGCGCCCCCGGCCCCGTCCATCATGCGGATGATGACGCTCTCCTGCAGCGAGAGCGAGGCGCAGTTCGAGGAGAGGCCCAGATACTCCTGCGGCACCACGTGCACCAGCGACTGGCTCGCGTCGAACTGGAACCTGCTCTCGTCGGCGGCCTCGACGACCAGCATGTCCCGCCACGGAGAGCCCCCCCCCCGCGCGAGCTCCACGGCCCCGTCGCCGGCGTAGACGGGCTCCGAGAAGTTGAGGGTGAACGTGCCGTCCGGCGTCACGCCCGACTGGTAGCAGGTGCTGCTGCACTCCGCGGACACCGAGTTGCCCTCCCCGTCGACCAGGGCACCGACCTGCGGCAGAGAGGCGGGCGGCCGCCAGGAGGCGCCCGCGAGGCTCAGCGGCTGGCCTGGCTGCGGGGACAGCCAGGCGGCCACCGCGGACCACTCCACGCCGTCCTCCGCGCGCTCCAGCACCAGGTCCTGGAACGCAACGCCCTGCACGGCCACCGGCGAGGCAAACTTCGCCGTGAGGAACACCCCGGGGTCGCACGCCGCGCACGCCGACTTCCACTCGGCGAGGACCTGGGGGTCGTCGGCGCCGGAGAGCGTCAGCACGCCGAGTGCCAGCAGCAGGGCTGGCCCGGCCGAGCGCCAGCAGCGCCCGAGCACTTGCTGCGATGCTCCGTCGCCGTGCCTGCCGCGGCCCGCTGGGCGCCTCAGGCCTGGCGCAGCCGCCGTGCGAGCCATGCGCGGCCGCGCATGCGGAGGGCAGTGCTGGGGTGGGGCGTGGCCGACGCGGCGGAAGGGGCGGAAGCGGCGCAGGCGCTGGGGTGCCTTGTGCCTCCTCCTCCTCCTCCTCCTCCTCCTCCTCCTCCTCCTCCTCCTCCTCTTCCTCCTCCTCCCCCTCCTCCTCCTCCTCCTCCTCCTCCCTCCCTCCTCCTCCTCCTCTCCTCCTCCTCCTCCTCCTCCTCCTCCTCTCCTCCTCCTCCTCCTCCTCCTCCTCCTCCTCCTCCTCCTCCTCCTCCTCCTCCTCCCCCCCCCTCCTCCTCCTCATCCCCCTCCTCCTCATCTCCTCCTCCTCCCCTCCTCCTCCTCCTCCTCCTCCTCCTCCTCCTCCTCCTCCACCTCCTCCTCCTCCTCCTCCTCCTCCTCCTCCTCCTCCTCCTCCTCCTCCTCCTCCTCCTCCTCCTCCTCCTCCTCCCCCCGAGGTTCCTCTATCCTCCCCCTGTTGGGGTATGACGGCTTCTCAGCTTTTATTCCATTGCGCGCTCCCCCACATGACTGATCAAGGCAACTCGCCGTGGGCATCGTTTCTGGATGGGTTGGTGGGGTACCTTTTTCGCTCGCAAGCATTGCGGAAGAACTGCACGCCGTCAGAAAGTCGCAAAGCAGCATGCCACAATCTTAATTAGGCCGCACGCGCACGGGCGAACTGCGCAGGCGCTCAGCAGGCGAGGAGGACCAGGAAGAGCACCAGGTCCACGTGCAGCGCCAAAATGACGACAAAGGACAGGCCAGTGTACTCCATGACCACCGCCGCGTAGTCGAGGAAAACGTAGGCGTCGTGCAGGCGCTCAACGGAAAATCCGGATCGCCGAGAGGATTGGCCAGAAGACCAAGTGCGCGGAGACGGCGACGGCCGCGCGGAGGGGGGGGAGGGGGGGCGCAACGGCGAGGCCGCGGCGAAGGAGCAGAGACGATGCCGGGCGGCGCCCCGACAGCGAGGCGGCAAGACGTCGAAGAACCATACCCAACGATAAGCGACGTTGCCAAGCCAGCGGGGCAGGTCGCCTTGACCGGCGCGGAAATGGACAGAGCGCACGACCCCGAACGGGCGGGGGCAGCGACCACGGGCGGGAAGCACACCCGAGCGCCGGGGGCGCCCCGAATGGAGGGACAGGCGGGCCGCCCTCAGAGCGACCAGCGTGGCCGGACGAGGAGAAGCGATGCAGCCCGTCGCCTGGACGGGTCGGACGGGGGCCAGGGCGCGAGGTGTCGAGGGGGCCCAGAGGCCACGCGCGCGGCGCCGCCGGCGCCGGCTGCGACGACCCGCGGAGTCGACGAAGAGCGGGGGGGGGCACCGGCGGCAGCGGAGCGATGCAGGAGGCTGCGTGGCGCGGCCCGCGGCGGGTGCGCTGCGGAGCGGCAGTGCGCGCGGGAGCGGCGTGCGAGGACCCAGCAACCGAGCCCCAGCCTGCCTGGCGATCTCGCGCATGGCCGACGGCGGGGCCAAGGGTGCCCGCGGCGACGCGGGGACGGGCGTCGGGGGTGGGCAACATGGCGCCGAGGGCGCGACGTCGCGAGAGGCCCGAGCACACACGCGGCGGGACGGTATCAGGCGCGAGGCCGTAGCGGCTGCGATGCGGGCCGCGGCAGGGGGGGGGGGCTGGCGTCTGACGGCCGCGCGCGCGGTGGAGGGAGACGGGGAGAAGCGGCTGACAGCCGCAGTGGAGGGGGGCCGGTGGGAAGCGGCCGATCGACGCCGATTAGGACAGCGGCGCAGCGACCGTCGTGCACGTAGGCGGGAGGGCCGGGGAAGGGAGCCATAGGGCGGCGACTGACAGTCGCACTGCAGCTTGGAGGCGGGCCCAACGGAGGGCGGGAGCGGGGGGGGTCGGCGGGGGGCGACCAACAGTCGCACAGTAGATAGGGAGCAACCCCAAGGGGCAGGCGAGGTGCAAGGCGACTGACAGGGGCAAAATTTTGCGAGGGGGCACAGTGGGGAGAGGCCGGAGGCGCGACTAACAGTCGCGAAGTGGGAGCGGTAGCGCGCTGCGCCAGGCAGCCAGACCTGTCGCCGCAGAGGTCCAGCATTACGGGTCACTCCGCAGAGGGGGGGAGGGCCAAGGCCCCTGGGCAGCGCCTAAGGCGGGCCAGGGAGGGGCGGCGGTCGCCCAGGGGGCGAGAAGCCGCAAAGCTGGGCCAAGAGCAGGGGTCTCCTGAGGGCCAGGGGCGAGCCAGCAACCCCAGCTACGAGCGCCCGAGGCGGCATTAGGCACAGAGCCAAGGTGGCGCACCGCGGGGCCCAGCCCAGGGCTGGCCCCGGTGAAAGGGGGGCCTTTCATAGAGACAGGGTCGGTACCTTCGCTGGGTGCGCCGCGGTTGGTGCTGGACGGGCGTCGGCAGCGATCGCGGAAGGCGAGGCGGGCGGCTCCTTCGGGGCAGCTGGGACGTGCCCTGGGGAGGGGGGGCGACCGCAGCCCCAGATGGGCCCCGAGAAGGCGGGAGCGTGTGGGAGGGGACCTAGGGGCACACCCAGGGCTGGTGGGAGCCCGCGGCCCGCCTGGAATCCCCTGCACTTGCCCAGCGGGAGCCACCGCACCCCCGATGCCCCTTGCCTTTCTAACCAGGGCGCCCCCCCCCCTTAGTTCGGCCCGCGAACTTGCCGCGGACGGCGGACCAGTCGACCTGGAGCTGTAGAGCCTCATCCATCTTCATTGGGCGGCAGACGCGGCGGCGCCACGCCTGGAGGATGCGCTCACAGGACCCGGGCTCCTGCTTGTTGGGATCGGCACAGACGCTGCCAGTCCTGGTTGGGTTTTCACGCGTCCACTGGTGCCAATCCCCGCGGAAATACTCCCCGAGATCCTTCTGAAGGCGGTTCACTGTCTCGGCGCGGTCCTCGCCGCGGAGGGGGGGGAGCTGGGCCCGCTCCAGCGGCGTTCGATGCGAGGGGTCGGATTGGGCGTCTGCGCAGGGGTGCTTCGGAGCCGACCGAGGGGTCGGATTGTCGTCGGCATACGGGAGCGCACGGGCGCGAGGGGGCCGATTCCAACGCTCGTTGGCCGCCCAGCTGGACCAGCCCGTCGACCTGGTCCAGCTGCCACTGCATGGCTCACTATGGCTGGACCCATACTGCCGACGCGACGGGCGCTAGCCCCAGCGCTCGCCCCAGCTGCGCTCGCCCCGCCTGGCAGCGTCGATCAGGGTCCGCCCCAGGGCGGGGATACTTGGGGGAGGGGAGGCCCTGCGGTCGGAGGGGCTGCCCGTTCTCCAGTCGCCCTGCTCGTGCGGGTCAAGGCTCTCCCTCGGCTCATCCGCTGGTGAGGTGGGGCTGCAGAGACTGGAGTCCACCGCGGGGCTGCGGGGGGGGTCGACGTGCTCGATGGGTGGCCCCGAGCCAGGGGACGGGGACAGGGCGACTACAGCCTCCTTTCTTACCGCTCGGCCGCGGAGGTGTCAGAGATGGCGTCGCTGCGCGCCGCTGGGGCGGCGCCACTGTCGGCGGGCGAGTGCTCCACTGCAGTGGCCCAGGGGAGAGGTGCCCTGGGACAGTGCTTCGGCGGATGGGCTTTCGTCGCTCGGGCTCGGCAGCGACGAGCGGCCCCCTGTCGGGGAGCGCGGGCTAGGCTCGTCTTCGCGGGACGGGCTGGCCCCGCGCCGCGCGGGCGGCGAGGGGGGGCGTGCTGGAGAGACCCAGTCAGGCGGATCCGGCGAGGGGCCGGGAAAGGCGGCGAACTCGGCGGGTGGTGAGCGAGTGTTGATGCTCGACCCTGTGGCGAGCAGGTCGGAGTCGACCTGGCCCAGGAACCCCACTGATACGCCCAGTGTGTGACGGAGCGGGGAAGGCCCGCGCAAGGGGCCACATTGGCTGGCGCGTTGGGCCCGCTTGGCGCGTAGCGGGCTGCCGGGGGAGTCGACGCAGAGATGAGCGACCACGCGGGCGGCAGCGAGCCTTTTGCCCTGCCACTATAGTTCTGCGGGGGGGAAGTTCGGGGCAACCCTGTCGCCGTAGACCGTCGTCAGGAAGGGGCGAAGTGAGTGGGGTTCCCACTTGTCTGGGGACTCGGCGCCCCGAACGTCTCTGCCGTGCGCGTCTGCAAAAGTCCTTCCAGAGATCGTCCAGGTCTGGGTCGAGGTCTCGCAGAAACTCGACCAGCCTCGCCTCGATGGACGTTGATTCCACGTGGTCCTGCCCTGCGCCAGAGGCTGCCTGTAGGGTGTCAATGTCGACGCATGCGAGTGCTGGGCCGGCGGGTGGGTCGGCGCAGGGCAATAAGTTGCGTATCTCCGCTAACCCACGGACGGGGGGCCTACCGTACTGGTCAGGGGGAAGAGGACGGGGTCGCCGCCGCCCTTGCTGAACGCGTCAGCCCTTGTTGCGGAGGCACGGTTGGGCGCCAGCTCGTGGGCCAGGGAGGGCTCGTCCGGCACGGCGGGGGCTGGGGGCGGCCTCGAAGTGGGGCAGGCTGGGTAGATTGGGTGGGCGTCACGGTCTAGGAGGGCGTCGACGGTGCTGGGGCGGGCGCCCCATGCGTGGACAAGGCACCGGCGGCAAATCCACGCGGCATTCCACCTGCGGGAGTGCCAAGCAACTGCACGATCTTCCCAGGCGGGAAGCCCTCCAGCGCCTGCGCCGCGTGCCTCCTTGTCAGCCTTCCAAACAAAGCAGCCCAGCGCGGGGGAGCCAGCCTTCCACACGAGGGCTAGGGATCCATGGGGGCAGCCGTCGCACTTCACAGTGTAACGCCCGGTCTCCTGGGCTGCGTTGCCAAACCTATCGTCGTCCAACCGAGTAGGCGGGAGAGTGGTGTTGGCGTTCTTCGGGGCTTGGAGGCCCGACGGTTCAAGTAGGTAGTCCCCGAGCTCGCCTGGGAGTACAGGGGGGGCAGGGACACGTGCGTGTGAAGGCGAGCGGTGGGGGGTAGGGCCTCCGCGGGAGGGGCCTTGGTGGGGCTTTTGGAGAGCGTGAAGACGTGCACCTACTCGTGCAGAGTGCTTGCGCGGGGGACTTGGGAGCCCTGTCTCTCCATCACACGAACCCAGCAGGGGCCGCAGAGCGATGAGCAGTCCATCCCGTTGGCGTGCGCCTGAAGGCGGTTCTGCGCCAGGTACGAGCGGATGGCGTCGTTGAGCCAGGTGCCATCGGTGTACCTGAGGCCACCTCGGAGGCACAGGTCGCACCAAAATCTTGCCACCTTCCGGTCCAGGCTGGCTGGTGGGGTTACGCGAACCGTCAAAAATAAGGACAGACCAGACGCGTCCACGGGCGACCCTGTCGGCATGTGGACCCCCTTGTCGGCGTGCGCTCTGTCGACGCATCCGTTGTCCTCTTTCCATGCGTCTCCGTCGTCCCCTTTCCCTGCCCCCTCCTCTTCAAGCCTGCCAGCCAGAGAAAACCGTAGCAACGTCGAACTTAAGTCGAAGGGAAGCCCCTTCCCTTTGATCCCTTGACCGCCGAGGGGGGGGGTCCTGGGAGGGGTCCCGGGGGGCGTCCCGGGGGAGTCCCTGGGGGCTCCCGGGGGGGGGGGGGTCAGATACGCATCCGCCCGTGGGCGTCCGGGAGCCCCAAAAAGCGCCAAGAGGGCCCCATGCAGGCCCACGAAGAGGACCACGAACCGACATTTCGAGCTTCCCGCCCCAAGAAGCCCCCAGAAGGCCCCAAGAGCCCCTCAAGGGGCCCGAAGAGGCCCCAAGAGACCCCCAAGAGGCCCAACAGAGGCCACAACACGCCCGAAAACATACAAAAGGTCTTTCAACCACAACCCCAGCACGGTGGCGGGAAGGGCCGCAGGGCACAAGGTTCCCTGTCTGTCTCTGCTACGACTCCCTCGGCCCACATGGGCAACATCTCCTTCGCCTTCTCCTGCTCCCTTCCACCTTGATCCCCCTCCTCCTCCTCCTCGTATTCGTCGTCGTCGTCGTCTTCAGGGTCGGCGGCACCGGCCGTAAGGGATTAGCAATAAGGACAGACCAGGCGCGTCCACGGGAAGCACAATTGATTTAATCCGTGCGCGCGACCGCGGCCTTCCTGCTCCACGTCGGCGTCGACTGGCGACGAGGTGAGGCATCTCCTTGGAAACTCGCTCGTCCAGACTCGCCTATCGCCACAGTGTGTCCAGCAGTACGCCGATGGCCCGCTTGATGCCCTTCTCTGTGACCGTTACCAATCCCCCACTTGCACCACTCATCCGCGTCCGAAGCAGGCGGACGGTCGGCAGTGGCAGACCGGACGCGCGCAGCATCGGGCGCGGCATGCCCCCTGCAGCCCCTGTCGTAGAGCTCGACACGGTCCCACGGGCGCTCCGCAAGCTGCAGCCCGCGTCTCAATTCGCTCGCAGAGGCTGCCTGGCCGTGCGGATCCCTGGGCACCCCTCGAGGGCTCCAAAGCCCGAGGAATCCTGGACGTGGACCGCTGTTCTGGAGACAGGCCGCCCCTCCTGGGGCAACAGCCACAGCAGCAGCAGCGACGGCAGCGCCAACGCCCACAGTGAACCAGCCCGCGCGGCCGCCAGATCCAGGCCTGCCCTGGCACACGCTTCCGCGAGCTCCCAGAGGGCGTCGCCACAGGACGGGGCTGCGCAGTAGAAAATCTCGCGGGGCGGATCCCAGCATGGGGCGCGCTGCGAGGCCCTCGAGAGTAGCATGCCAGGCAGCCAGGTCGAGCAGGACCGAAACATCGTGAGGAACCGCAAACGCCGTGGGCGCCGCGGACAGTTCGAAGGCCCGGGGCCATCCAACTGATCAAAGGACACCAGCGATGACCTCGGGCCCATTCGGGCCGCACTCTGGAGAAGACTCTGTTCGGACGCACACCGAGTGGCATCCAGAACACAGCATCCGGCGGCATCAAGTGAACCGGTATACCGTGCCGGCAACCAAGCGGCTGGTTTGGCCGACCTATGTTTCTACTGCTTCCAGCTTGGCTTCAAGCTGGTAGTGGACACGTGACCGATCAAATCTGCACCCAACCGAGGGGCAAGTCAGGGCAAGACGGGGAGCACATGGCAAGGACGACAGCAAGGCAAGACTGCGGGAAATAGCCAAATCACAGGGCACGATCCAAACATTTCCTGGTACCACCTGCCCGAACACAAAACCACTCCGACTACTTGGATCCTCGAACTCGACAGTCTGCTTGCTCATCTCGAACGCCACTTCTGACGCCGTAGGCAAGTCGTAGTCCAGTATCGCTCAAAGAGGGAACAATATTGGTCCCTTCGCTTTCTACGCGCTCATTTTGACCGCCACTATCGTTATCCATATGCGACTTGTTCAGCGCATCTCTGCTTGCTTGCAGACGCATTTATCAGCCCGTCACCTCCATATCGAACTCCGTCACTCTGGCGGCCATCGCATTCCACCGCTCCACACTAGCGCAACTCACGATGATGATGACAATGCCTATTGCCATTACGGATGATGCTGATAGGGATGACGACGATGACAACGACGGGACGATGACGATGGTGACGATAATCGTCATGATCCTAATGACCACCATGATCATAAAGATCATGATGATATTCATGATCAAACTCGTGATGGTGATGATCGGTCCCCGGCAGTTCTCTCCCAAGCCCAAGCCTCACCAACCTCCGGGGACAGACACAGAAAAGCCCGTGGGGATGACAGGAGAACGAGAGGAGACGAAACGAGGGACGAGGGGATGGGAGGGGAGGCGAGCTGGCGGCGAGGGAGGGGAGGGGATGGGAGGGGATGGGAGGGGAGGGGATGCAGCTGGCGGCTCCATCCGCAGCATTACGCGACGGGCCACTGGGGCGGGCCTGCGGCAAGTGGCCCGAATTTCGTCTTCACAGCCCGGACCTCCATGCCCGATGCAGTAGCGCGCGGCAAGCACCTTCCGCTGGAGCAGACACTTGCACCGGCAGCTGCCGGGAAGAAGGCTGAGGCGGAGGCGACCATCGGTGTCACGGGCGACCATGGAGAAGCTGGAGCTGTGGATGGCGCCAGAGGGGAGCCGTCCTCGGGGGCCCCAAGCACGCTCGCACCAACCTTGCGAACACGTGAACGCAGAAAGAAGGGGCGATGAAGTGACCTGTCCCGCGAGCATCTTCCTCCTTTCCCGCTCCCGCCCTCCTCCCCTTCCTGTCGCTGCTGCTGATGCGGTGTTTGCTGCATGCTGCCCCGCCCACTTCAGCACACCCCTCCCGCACGTCGTGCCCCATAAGGAGCTCCACCTACGGTTCGAGTGGGGGCACTCGCAAGCGGCCACCCAGCCCACTTCAGCACACGCCTCACGCAGATGTTGCCCCATAAGGAACTCTGCATGCGGTCCCAGTCGGCGCGCCCTTAAGCGATCCCCCCGCCCATTTCGGGACACTTCTCACGCGGATCGTGCTCAAGAAACAGCTGCACCAAAGACCCCAGTGGGCGACCGCACATTTTAGATTGCATGGGGGCGCTCGGTGGGCATGGCAGCGGTTTGGAAAGAGCGCTCCATGCATAGCTGGTTACGCAGGGTGGCAATTGGCGCGCTTCGAAATTGAAAAAGCGATTCGGGCTCTCAGTTGATCCGAATCTAGCGACCATCCATGCGAAGGGCGGGCCATGGCGGCCGAGGTATTTGCTGTTCCGACATTTGCAGGCTCATGGGACTCATTTGCTTCGGCCGCGTCCGCGCTTGCGCGCGGACTGCCACTCTCGCAATTGCTGCCGCGACGACGCCAGCATGGCCCCAAGTGGTCGCAAGGATCTCCGAAATGGCCCCATTGGGGAAGGTAAGGTGTTCGCCAGCGTCGGAACGTGAAGCCTGGGATCGACGAATGTTCGGTTCATGGTGCTCATGGGCTGGTAGGGCTCGCAGGGCTCGCAGGGCTCGCAGGGCTCATCGGCCTTTGGGGGCTCGTATGCTCTCAGGGCTAAAGGGGCTCATGGGGCTTAGAGGGCTCACGAGGCACATAGGACTCATAGGGCTCACAGGGCCCATAGGGCTCACAAGGCTCATAGGACGCATGCAGCTCAGTGGGCTCAGAGGCCTCCTGGGGCATAAGGCTCATAGGCCTCAAAAGGCTCATAAGACTCATGGCACGCATAGGGCTCATCGTGCTCATAGGGCTCGTAGGGCTCACAAGGCACACATTGCTTGCAGAGCTCGTGAGCACCATCGGAATCATGGGCTCATATGGCCCATAGGGCTGATAAGGCTCATGGATCTCGTCTCAAAGGGCTCACCGGGCTCATCGGGGTCATTAGGCTCATAGGGCTCACGGGGCGTACAGGGCTCACTGGTCTCATAGGGCGCATGCGACTCACAAGGCTCACAGGGCTCATATGACTCAGAGGGCCCATAAGGCTCAGAGGGCTCATGCAGCTCAGAGTCTCGGAGGCCTCAGAGGGCTCATATGGCCTAGGGCTGATTGGGAAGTTGCTCGCAGTCACACGTGGTGCTCATACCTTCGACTGGAGGGCCCTAGTACAAGCACTTTCCGGGCCCTGTTGTGCCCCAGTGGAGTCCCAACGAAGCCAGGGGCGGGAATGGGAGGCTTGGGAAGGCCAAGTGCCAGCATCACTGCCCCCGTGTTTCTTGAAGTACCCGCAGTGTCGTGAAACCCTGCATGCATTGATTACTTTGACGACGTGTGACAGCTTTCGCAGTTGACGAACCTGAAAACATCTCACGCGCTTTCATGAGTTCACAACAACATGCAAACACCATTGCAAACGACACAAATACCACCAATAGACAAAAAAACACCTAGAAATTACACTGAGCGCGAAAACAGCAGCAACAACAACAACAGTCATGTTACCCTCATGCGCGATGCGTCCACACGCAGCATGCGACCATCATGATAACCATCCCCATCATGGAGGATTATTGTTCTATCGCCGGGGTCCGTTATTCCCATTCCCAGATCTCCCGCCCAATGAGGTCTTGCAAACACCTCCTCCGAGGAGTTTCAACATATCCGACCTCGAGAACACATGCCCGCGCCCTGCTGCGCCGATGCGAGACCGCCAGTGGAGCCCCAGCCAAGGGTAAAGCACAAGGAAGTATCGAGCGACAGGATTGGCTTGGTGGGGATGGGGGCTGTCGGCGACGATGCAAGGACCTGGCCCTGAATAAAAAGGGAGGAAGTCTCGAGCAGGGGTGCTGTTGTTGCTGGGAGCGGCGCCAATGCAGAAGACAGTAGGGCGCTAGTCCAGCGTGAAACATCACGAAGTCTCAAGCGGGAGCGCTGGTTCTGGTGGGAGGGCGGTTGTCGGCGGCGAGGCGGGACACCGCCTTGAGTAACAAGGGAGGAAATCTCGAGCGGGAGCCGCGGTTTTGTCGGGGCGGGGGCTGTCGGCGGCGAGGAACAGCACGGCTTTTAGGAAAAAAGAGGAAGCCTCGAGCGGGAGCGTTGTTCTTGCTGGGGGCGGCGCCGATTCAAAAGAGAGTTGGGCGCCAGTCCAGCGCAAATTGGAGGAAGTCTCGGGCGGGAGCGCTGGTTTTGTTGGGGCGGCGGTTTTCGGCGGCAGGCACAAGCACCAGCTCTGAGTTAAAAAAAGGAAGTCTCGAGCGGGAGCGTTGTTCTTGCTGGGGGCGGCACCGATGCGAGAAAGAGTAGCTCGCCAGTCCAAGGTAAAACGGGAAGAAGTCTCGAGCGGGAGCGTTCGTTATGTTGGGGCGGCGGTTTTCGGCGGCGAGCAAGAGCACCAGCTCCACATTCTTTTTATTATTATTATATATATATGTATATATATGTGTGTGTATATATATATATACACACACAGAGATATTATTATTGTTGGGGGGTCGGTTTGGGGGGGGCCCTAGACCGTTCGAGCGTGAGCCTCATTTTCAATGAAAATGTAGCCGGCGCCGAGGCGAGAGCGCCAGAGCGCCTGAGGGGGTCCAACAAGAATACTTGTCTAGTAATTAACATTCAACCACAACAACAAAAACAACAACAACAACAACAACAACAACAACAACAACAACAACAACAACAACAACAACAACAACAACAACAGCAGCAGCAGCAGCAGCAGCAGCCAACAACAACAACAACAACAACAATCATTTTACCCGAACGCTCAGTGTTCTCACCAGTGCCAGGGTTTTCATGCGACGCGAGACAATACCCCCACTTCGTGGGGGGGCAGTTCAAGCTCTACCAAATATCCAAACGACTCTTCGCGACCACCCAAACCCAGCT